AAATAACAAATGTTCATTTAGGCGATCACAATAAACCGAAGCTTTACGGAAATAGCCGAGCAATTTTCATTGATTGAAATGATATTCATCCGCGTAACAAAATTATTTGAATGTATTCCCGGTAATTTGCGGAAACGGTAAAGAATTGCACAATATTAGAAATCTTCGAACAATCGGGAACCATTTTTTCTTCCCTGAGAAGGTTTGAAAATCAATGCGCCTGTCATTTGACAATCTTCACGCAGTGATCTCCCCTTAATGGTTTGGCGTAAGTGCACTTTTAAAGGGAAGTAACCGTTTTGAGGAGTTTGTGACGGACTACTTGCGGATTTTGCAAATAAGCATATCAGGGTCTGATGACCCAAACAAATAAAAACGCAGTTTAGCTAAAACTAAAAAAAACTAAATTATGAAAAATAGTGTTGGTGCAAATATGTGGCACATATGTACATACCACTATGCCAGAAAGAGGCGTGTGATTTACAGATGTATTTCTAATTGAATCCTAGTTAAAACAGGATCAAATAAATTATAACTAAACTTCGTTGTTCGTCGATAGAGTCAGCCGTTCAAATAAAATGTAGGCCAGGCGAATTCTTAGTACAAATGTATTAAATAACTTGATCATTCGGAAAGATGTCACAGAAAGTCAAATATAATATTTGCAAACGAGTTCTAAGAACAGATTAGAAGAAATGTCATTAAAATTGATTTTCCATTTACTTCCGTTATCAAGCATTGTTAAAAGAGGTTCTCAAACGTAATTACAATAAACAGTTTAAACAAAGGCGATGCGTGTTATCAAAATGTATTTCTATAGATCTGCCTAAAATCGTCATAATGAAAGACACGTTACTTGGTTACCTAAGATATTTTTAAAACGATTTGATGAGTTTTCTAAATCTGAATGTTTAGAATAGCAATATATCATTTAATATTGTCTGTTATTTAGTCCCGTAATGTTCTTCGGTTTCCAAAAACTATCATTATTTTTGAATGATTTCAGGATGAAACTATTTCTTTTGTCATTTTAAATAGTAGTATACATATTATGTCATAAATATCTTAAAGTTTTCTGTAAAGAAAATCAACTGGTATATATTTATTAATATTATTAATAAGTTAAAAGATTGTGGCAGATTATATGGCCCTATATAAATTTATATATCGCGAAAACTGTTTATATATGTCAATATAACCGGTAAGATATATTTTTAACGAATTTATAATACAGCAAGTATCTGTTTTTGACAACAAAAATGAAATTTCTTCAAAAATTGACAGCAGCAGTGTATATAAAACTATATAAACGTCACGATTATCCAATGAAAAAGGACGTTACAAACGTGCAGTATTGTAAGTGATTATATGTTTGCTTCCTTGCATAGATCAATATTGTTGTCCTTCATATATTTTTATTTTTGTTGACGGTTTTGCCATACATCACAGTGTCCTATTGCTATTGTTTGTATGCGTATTTGTTTTATTTATGTTTTTGTAAATTATATGTTAATTAAAATGGAATTGAAACTAGTTGTATGTCTTATGAATTTTATCGACATTAAGAGGAGATCTTTAAAAGGTCTCGACATTGTATTATTATAAAATTCCGTATAGGTCTTTGATAATTCTATATCTCAAAATGAAAGCAGCAAGTCTCGAGATTATTAAAAGATGTATTTATAACTTAAGAAAAATATACCAATAGTTTGCGCAATATTTATCTATAATACACAAGAGATACACCTTTTTATGCAAACTTACTCTTTTTTAACTTGACTTGTCTTGTCTTACTCAGAAATTATTTGCATAAATATTATATCATTATATCTCTACAATAATATTATAATATAAACAGTATGAAGATTATAATAAAAATGCTGTAAGCTTTATAATAATACAAAAATATATAATAATAACTACATATACACATTTTCAATGAAGTTTATAGTTTTCATTTTGTTTTAAAAACAATCTTACAACTTTGTAATAATGGCATTCATAAAGGTAATATAGCGGACACTTTCTTCAAGTTTTAGTGTTATCGATGCATGATCGATTCTTAAATTTGTAGTATCGGTTTTTTGGTTTTTTTTTCTAGTTTACCATTTCGATAATGTGTGTACGATCTAGTCTCTTTAGATCTTATTAACTCGGGTAACACAAACCAAACCTGAGTCATTTAAATAATTTGACAACATAACTTGTATAACAACATATGTTTTAAAAATACAAGCAGCCGATCTCCCCTTAATTTTTTGACGTAAGTGCACTTTTAAAGGGAAGTAACCGCTTCGAGGAGTTTGTGACGGACTACTTGCGGATTTTGCAAATAAGCATATCAGGGTCTGAAATTTCGCTACCATTATTTGTTTTGTCTGATGACCCAAACAAATAAAAATGCAGTTTAGCTAAAACTAAAAAAAAATAATATGAAAAATAGTGTTGGTGCAAATATGTGGCACATATGTACATACCAATATGCCAGAAAGAGGCGTGTGATTTACAGATGTATTTCTAATTGAAACCTAGTTAAAACAGGATCAAATGAATTATAACTTATTTTCGTTATGCGTCGATAGAATAAAATATAGGCCAGGCGAATTCTTAGTACAAATGTATTAAACAACTTGATCATTCGGAAAGATGTCACAGAAAGTCAAATATAATATTTGCAAACGAGTTCTAAGAACAGATTAGAAGAAATGTCATTAAAATTGATTTTCCATTTACTTCCGTTATCAAGCATTGTTAAAAGAGGTTCTCAAACGTAATTACAATAAACAGTTTAAACAAAGGTGATGCGTGTTATCAAAATGTATCTCTATAGATCTGCCTAAAATCGTCATAATGAAAGACACGTTACTTGGTTACATAAGATAATTTTTAAATTATTTAATGAATTTTCTAAATCTGATCAATCTGAATGTTTAGAATAGCAATATATCATTTAATATTGTCTGTTATTTAGTCCCGTAATGTTCTTCGGTTTCCAAAAACTATCATTATTTTTGAATGATTTCAGAATGAAACTATTTCTTTTGTCATTTTAAATAGTAGTATACATATTATGTCATAAATAACTTAAAGTTTTTTTTAAAGAAAATCAACTGGTATATATTTATTAATATTATTAATAAGTTAAAAGAAATCGAATAGCTTTATGTTTAAATGTTTAAATGCAAAAGATAAAGTTGCCAGAAAACGCAATTAACTTTACATTTGATCGGCTACAGACTACGCGAGTGCAGGTCAGCGAAAACATTATAATGATATTTTAACACTCGTATGAACCTGACCTGGTCTGTATGGAAAACAGACAACAAGATGTTGTTTTATTTTTTGTTTATATATACATATCATACAGGTCTTTAGAAGTGATAGCAAGCTGCTTATCTGCAAAGATATTTAGATATAGTATCGTGCCATTCTTCAGGTATAACGATACAGACTAATGAGATTATCAATATGTCTGCAGTCATTAATTAACATCACACCTGTATTATCAAATATACCACGGCGTTGTAGGAAGTTGCTGAAACATTTGACCCGCTGTCAGAGGTAATAATCATCTAGTTGTTTGTATGTTCAGATAAATTCTATCTGTGATTTACTGCATATGTTTCCACTAATTATATGCATACCATATTGATTATAAGAATATTTTCCATGCATTTTCACAAACCGAAAAGATTTATCTGTTTTTTTTCTCTCCTGATTTCTTTTATACTGTGTCATGTTTTTCAATATTGATTGTCATTATCATATTGGAATGTTTATTATGTGAATCTTATCTATAAATAAAATGTTGATTCAAGTAGGTTAAGCATCATATCTCCTTTCTAAAACCGTAAAAACTGACCGACAAACACAACCTCTTCTGAGCGTTCCTCTGTAGAACAATAACCTGTTTTAAAAAACGTATGCAACACTTTGCAATAAGTTACACCTCTCTAAGGCACCACCTTACAGCAACAACCAGCATTTTTATCTCCTTAAGGATAATGTTATACATGTATTGAATCGTATGTTATTTATATAGTATTTATATATATTTCTTAAAAGATAGCATCTTATAACCTTGTACATAATTGAGATATTTCCGCATTTTCTAAACTTCAGAACTCGTCTGCAGTTTCAACAGATCATTCAAACATCACGGAAATTAGCCTTAATGAAATTCAATTTTCTGTTAGAGGGAAAGAATGTAACATTGCAATTTTGCATGCTAACGATTTAATGATAACAGATTGGGAGCGTCTGTTTGTTTCCGTGTTCTATATTAATATCTTGAAATATTTAAACTCCAGATGCACTACGTGTTTATCAAATGCTACTAAATGCCAATTGTTTATATTTTCTATCAAAATCTGAATGTAATTAACTTAATTAGTGGTTGTATACATAATGTGTCATTCCGACCATTATCATGCATACTTAGGTAAAATGGGCTTGCTTTGCTTTAGAGTCTAAACTGTTTGTTTTGAGTTTTAAGGATTTCAATATATAATAAAATATTAAAAATAAAGTTTGTCAGTCATTTGTACAGAGCCTGATAGACAGCTCGAATGTTCATGTCCTGGCATGTCCATATACTGGAAGCATTGACGAGAACCTAACACTTCTTGTTGTTTTAGCTTTAATTTTAAACTCGCATCATCCACTAAAATGTTTATTATATTATTTGGATACGAACTACCGTTGTGTCGCTGTATCGCTAAAAAAATGTTTCAATTGTTTAAAGATTGTTGAAAAAGTTACATAAAACTTGAATGTCATTTTATAAAGATATTTTTTAAAATAAATAGTTATGTAAAATTACGTATATTTCTTACTTTACATATACGCACAATATAACTGAGTTGGTCAATGTATTCTGAATTAAAGTTTTATTTCTTTACTTAATTTAAAATTTCTCAATCGATCATTTAAATACTTCGCACCGGTATTAATACACACCTGTACGTATGATCTAAATCAGAGCATTTTTATCAGAGCTTAAATAAATAGTTTAACTTCAGGCATTCTGTGGGTTAACCGTATAAATCTCTCGCTCATTGGAAATACAGCTACTGTGGTATTGAATTTATAGGCTTAAAGCGTGAAATAGGAAGCTTGTGGAGTTACGTATAAAAGGTATCGATATCGGACCTAAAGCGATAGGATTCTGTAATGAAACCAATGGTGTTTATAAACATGCGGGTCTGTGCATCAGTTAATACATGGCTCGCTGTGTTATTCTCGAAACGTTTTAACTGATCTGACACATAAGCCGGCTTAACGAAGATCAAACGGATGGCTTTGGAGGAAAATTAATTAATAATGTTACTTTCTTATGTGATTTCCTTTAAAATATATATTGACGTACCGATATGATTGAAATGAATTTTAAAACAGTTATTAGCGTGATAATAATAATTATAGCATTTTATTCGGTTATGTGACAGATTTAGAAAAGCTTCGGAATTATTCTCGAAGGAAAACTTACCAAATCGTAAGTAAAAAAATGCTTTGTCTTATAATGTTTCAAAATTTAATAAGTCAACAAAGTTAAGTTTTAACAAGGATTTTATTTAATTAAAATTCATTAATTTTATTGTTAAGTATCTGTTTTATATTCCGAAAAGATATTTCAGCATATGCGCGCGTTGGAATTAAAAATATTCAGTTATTATCTAAGAAAAAAAACCCATATTGAAATGAACATTTTATAGTCAGTTAAGCAACTCTTTAATCAAAAACACCTTTATTTTAATAGATAATAATCATGAATATTTAGTAAACTGGTCGTTAAAAAGCGATCATCATTAAATTGTGAATTATTATAGATGAATTTCACAGAAGTTATTTATTTCATGCAATAAATCATAAATAACAAGCAAATGAAAACTATAATAAAATGAAATTTTCATTTACAAACAATAAATCAGAAATTAAAATATGTATTTAATATATTTTAATTATTATTTCACATTAAAATGGGGGCAGGAGATTCTTGTAGAAAATGTAAAAAAATAATGTATAAGTTTATCAAATATAATTATTAAACATATTGTTTAAGAAAAGGTATACAGATAATTTAATCTTTATCAGATATTTCTGCTTTATTTTGATCGTTTGAATGAATATTTCACTTTACATTTAAATTTATATAGGTACGTTCATTTTGTATCTTTTAGAATAAAATACGCACTTGGTGTGGCGTTTGTTCTTACTTCGTTCATGCATAAAACAATAGAGCTATTTTTTTTTATATCATACGACTATATCAATATTCCATCAACAGTGAAATATAAACACCGTATCTTTGTGCATTGATCTACATACCTGATTCTAACACCAGCGGTGTCTTATCTTTAATCAATTTTACTGATATATTAATCAACAGGTGGTACATTCGGACCTTAATTATAACGATAAAGTTGTTCATTAAAGAGATAAGGCTACCGATTAACCTACATCACAGCATGTCGGCGAAACTTCAAAAATAATAATTTAATGTTTTAAGTGATACCAAATAACTGTATCATACTGGCCAGTATAAATATATTTATTATGTACATATAAATGAAATATTCAGAAATATAAATAAATAAAATGCGTACTTTTATTTTTCGTATTTTCACTATAAAGATGTATTTTTCCCTGCTGTGAAACATATTTTCCATATTTTTACTGGTGTCTTGCCGGACTTCTTTCTTTTAAATTCAGCCACTACACGAAATTAAAAAAGGGAATTCATCCTTTTCATGAGGTTAAAAACGAGAAAAAAGTATATTAAAAACAAAAAATCAAGACGTTTTTTATTGATACAGGATTTACTTTCATCTTATGATATGAAAATTATCATATTTCACTCGTGCCACTAATGAAATATTCAATATCATTCCACTCGATGAAAATAAATCCTGTATTAATAACAAAAAATTGAATATCCTCTATATATACATAGGATTTTTACATATGGATAAATAATTATATCGATTGCCGCTATCAATTAATGGCTTTAACAAATGTTAATTTTTTTCTACACCATTATTTTAATGATTACTTGTTGAAAATGGGCTTAATTAAGATTATTTTTAAGTACAGTGTAACCCTTTGTGTGATATGAAGTGATAAACCGGTATTACCTCAATATTCACATGGTCAGAATCATCTATTAAAATATATAAGAAGAAAAAAATAAAACCTTCGTTATGATTACAAACAAGTACGGCAAATTGATCATGAAGAAGATGGTGTTGCCCACCTAGAAAAAGTGTTATTATGTTTGAAAGGGGAACATTGTTTACCCTGCGATTTTTTAGTTGGATTTTGAGTACCTGACCTTTGTTTTGGTCAGTTCAAATTGTAATCTTTTATACACATTCGATAAACATTTGCCGAATGTGTCTGTAAATAAGCAAAACTGGTATAAACACATCATTTTCTACACCATGTCTGTAAAATATAAAGAAAACATGCATCAAAGCATGTATTAAAGAACATCAGTATGCAACTATAAAAATGTGTTCGGTTTCTTTAAAAAGTTATCTTTTAAGAAAACTTGAAATACGAAATTGAAAAGATAAGGAGCACACATAGATGGAAATGACAATTTTGTCAATATGACCAAAAGTACAAAATTTAGGCCACTATTGTACTTCCTTTATTCAATTATAATTATACCGTTTCGAAAGGCAATAAAGCGCTAAGTTTATTCATTAAAAATAATTGGTTTTGCTCAATATATTTGATATAAAGTTAAGTGAAATAAAGTCCTGATCTACAAACCTGATACGGGTTCCCGCAGTTACTAAGCTTTAATCTTTCTGACGATATAAAAAGCAGAAATTAAACTGCTTTTTTAGGAGGTCAGCCTACCATTTAACGGCATGTGAGCAAATCTATATAATCGTCTCCAATATACATGGTTAAATTGAAGTCAGGTTAAACATGGACGATTCTAGTCATAACATTTCTCTATCTGTGTCTAAGTTTTTCTGATTGATAATTGTTATCAAAATAGTAATTTTCATAGCTGTTTCTTTTTTCCGTCGCAAAAATAAAATAAACGATTTTACAACTCATTGGTGGTTAACACCGTACTCTATTTGCTTCTGATTACACGTAGTTACCTGTTGCGTGATATCTTGTGATTAAATCTTTCCTAATTGTGCTTATAAATACATAAAACCCGAGATAAAAAACACACTATTTCCTGGACATGTTATTCCAATTTCAATCCGTCAAACATAAAATGTTAAAAAGGGTTTATATTATGTAGTAATCAGCTGAACATGTTTTTTCTTCACTAACGAACGTCCATCTAACTTCTACTTGTGATTCGTAGATGTTAGTTACTGTCAGCTTCTCATGCTTCGGTTTAAAATATAGCCAGTTGATACACTTTCTATATATGTTCGACATGAACTCTGAAATAATAAAAAAAAAGAAATACTAGTCATTATTTCTCTTTGGATTGTACTTTATTGATTTATTATATTAGCCCTTATTTTGCAGATTTGCCTCACTATTAGAATCATCGTGTGTATGATAAGGATCTTGTCCATAGTTTGTTGTTTTGAAAATATATCTATTTTTGCTACAATACAGTATTATGTTTTTGTTTTCATTCTCTTTTATCCTCTTTAAAATTCCGTTGAGTAAAAGCTGATCTATCTTGATTGCAAGAATACTTGACTTGCAATTTATCAGATATATTAGAAATATATCTAGAAAGATTAACATGATTGTTCAAACAAGTTTCCTTAGCTCAACAGTATCTTATTTATTAGACAAACAGTAACTGCAGTTTATCATTTGTCGATGATCTTGTACTGTATATGCTATATTGTTGTGTTCACTATTCAATTGCATGTAAAAAGATATTGAATGAAATATGTCTTACAAGAGAAAAATATGTTCTATTCTGTATCTTCAATATAGTAATGTTGGTATCTACCGCACTTGTTACAAATATTGATGCCGACCTTTGATACAGGATAAGATCTGAAGTGTTTATTCAAAGCAACAAAAGTATGAAACAACTAAAAATAATAGAAATCAGTTTATTTACTCAATTTAACTATCTTGTAAAGCCAACTTAGAGTGTGTCTTATACGATTGCAGCTAGACACGATTTGAAATTATTTGTTTTATTATTATATATGTTATAATTATAAAATTGTGTTGTTTTAATTTTATATCCAACTTAAAACTGGAAATTAAAATAATGTCTAGTATATATACCAAAATTCTTCTAAAGTCTTCAAAATTCTATTGTGATAATTTTAAATTAAATATACCTTTACATGAAAGCTTGGTAAAATATTTTATATGCTTTATTACTTTGTTATGATCCTAAACAGTTATAACAGTTATCTCCAATTACCAAATTTCAATTGACTTGGTCGTAATAAATGTGTGCATACATAAATCATGCACAAACAGAGACATTGATAACAAACATTCCAGCAACATGTAAGACACTATCGTCTTAGTTAAATAATATTACGTAAAAGATATACTAGATAATACAACTTTTTTTTTCATTTTAACAAAATTCAATTAAATTTGTATATATTTTTTATGTTGCATACTATGAAAGAGAATCATTTTGATACTGTATCACACAAAATTGTTTATCTAATCGTATAAGATTGATTAACACTTTGTAAAGTTTTCATATTTCTTATATTATTAGTTATTAATATTTTGATAAATTATATGTCCCTATGGTAACAACTGTTTGGAAATATTATTTATTACAAACAACCGTTTATATACGGTCATATAGGTTGTCAGGAATATTGAAACGAATTTATAATACAGCAAACTTTTTTTTTTTTGAGAAAAAGGTGAAATTTCTTAGAAAATTTACAGCAGCCGTGTATATAAAACATTATAATACTGCAAGTTTGTAACGTCGCTTTTCATTTGATAATCGTGACTTTATATAATTTTATATACACGGCTGCTGTCGATTCATGAAGAAATCTTACTTTTGACTATTAAACATGATGCTTGCAGTATTATAATATTAGTTATAAAGATTGTTGACAGGTTATATGGCCCTATATAAACGGCTGTTTGCAATATTACCCTCGCCTAGCGGCTCGGGTCATATTTACAAAAAGCCGTTTATATAGGGCCATATAACCTGTCAACAATCTTTATAACTAATAATATAAACGTCATAATTATCCAATGAAAAGTGACGTTACAAACGTGCAGTATTGCAATGTTGTTTCATTTACTATATGCACACACCGTAGAAACATGCATCATGACTTTGATAGTTTGAAGAATAGTTTACCATTGCTAATGGATTATTTAAGTACTTCTAATTTATAGACTGAAGATGTAATGCTCTTTGAAAGAAAAACACTGAAACCATGTTCTGTCTGTTCTGAGTAATTAAAAGAGACTTCTCAAAGTTTATTGAAAATTAAACTTCTTAAAATACCTCGTTTGTCATCAAAGAAGTGTTCATCTTTAATTTGAAAATACGCAGTCTATTACGCTAATTCAATTGAAAATAATTTACAGATTGCACACATCAAGACGCATTGTATATGTGATAAATCATGGAATCAGCATTCCAAAAATGAAATCAAAAATTTTTGCTGTTGCCCCTTTTTCAATTCATTTAACATAGTGGGTTATTCAAGAATGTTCTTTGATTAACTTTATTTCAAACCATCATGAATTTATACTTGGGAAAAGATATATTTCAATATTCAGTGACTTCACGTCTTTTTGAAAAGTTCTAGAAGATAAAAGAGTAATTCCATTTTGATAACTTTTTGATTTAATAAATGAAGTAAAAACGCGAGTTAGGGAATAATTTAAAGGTACCTTTCCAGCGTTTATAGTGTTTAAAAGTATGTTTGCTATCTTATTTCTACACTGGATTTAACGCTGGTTAACCATATAATGATTTTTTTATGAACAATTGCCATATCAATGAATTTAGAATAAAATAAGTCGAGCTTTGTTTTTACAGCTAAAAATTCGAAATGTCCATTATATCAAAATGAAATTTAATTCGTAAACGATTAATTTTTACCAAATAATTTTATCAAAGTTTATCTTAGTATACGTATTGTTCTTGTCAAATGATAAAGGCACATGTAATTTGTGATCTGGTCACGTCCGTAGGACTATCACATGGTTAATAAGGTAAAAATAGGAATATGCGAAAAGAAATTGCTTCAAACATGAATAGACTGAAATACACTTAATATTCTTTAATAGTGTGTCCTAATGTGCTTAGTTTATGATATTAATACAATCATTTTATTATTGATTAAGCTATGCCTCTTTTAAGAAAATTTTCTGTGAAATTATTGGTTTCCGCAATATAACTTTAGAAGGATTTCAATAATTGTGAAAATCTTTTGCATGTTATATATTATGTCAAAACATAGGTTGAGTTCTATTTTCGCTGCAATCAATTTTAATTGATGAAGTTATTCCCCTTTTTAAGCAAGTTTCATGTAAAATTACAGGTTTCCGTATGATATTTTCGAAGGATTTTATGACTGTGTAAGTACACTATATCAAAACACAGGTTCTGTTCAATTTTCGTTCCTATCAACATTTTATTGAAAAAGGTATGCCAATTTAAAAGCAAATTTTCTGTTAAATTATTTATTTCCGCAGGGTAACATTTTGAAAGGGTTAAAATGAATATTTTTATATTTGGCATACATGTATGCGATGTTAAAATAGAGTCAAATAGAATCCCTAAAGAAATGAAGACAAAAACGACAGAAATGAAAAAAGACCGATCAAGTTTGATTTTCTTTGCAATCGCTTTATTATTTACAAAGTTATGCCACTTTATATGCAAACAATCTATTACTAATATGCTTTAAAGGGATACTCAGGCAAATTTATGACAAAAAAATCAATACTATCTTATGTACTAGAATCACGCTAAAATGACATTTGTAAAAGTCCCAGCATTAATTTCTGTATAAATTCTATATATTTTGGGTTTGAAGCGTAAAAATATCTATATATGTTGAACGAAATTTAGACGCCGGCAGAATCACCGAGTAGTTTTAAAACTAGTAATGTGACTTGAACAAACCGTGGAAGTTACAATAATAGATATTTTAAATGTAGTATGATTTAAAAACAAACCTAAATCTTTCATTTGGCATGTTCTTAAACGTTTCCAGATAATTACTGTGACAATTATTGTGAAATCTTAACGGAAACCATCATATTATTATTCTTTATCAGGAGAAAAGTTTTGTTCATGTGACTGCCTAGTGTATTCATTTTGAGGATATTTACAGATAAATGAATGAAAAATTCAAAACGAAGACATGGAAATTGTGCCTGTGTATCCTTAAACCCAAACATCTAATCTATAGTTTATCACATTCGACAAAAAATCATCATTGGTGCTATTTACAACACTATATTTGCCTGGAATCATGCAAGCCTATTTTGTCCTTGATACTGTCGGACGTGTGTTTACCAGCCCCAGCGGAGCACGTGTACATATTTTAGTAACGTATATTTCTTTTTGCCATTTCATTGAAAGTATAAATTTCATATTAGATAAATTTCCATGGTATTTAATCATACTTCATAAATGCAGTTATTTCCTCTTCATTGATGACTAAAACACAGATTCAATAATAGTTTTTGTTGATATCTTCATTGCATCATTTGCATTTCATTTTGAGGAGAATTATGGTTTGGATTCACAAAAGTAATACTTTGTCAAAGTAAATGCTGTGATTACGAAAAGGCAATTTTTAGGAGCAGAATAATAGATGTCTTTCAAAAAAATCGGAAGCAAATCTCCTTTAATTTTTTTTTTCGGTTACTTAGTTTCTGGGAAACATAAAAAAATCCATGATATCTCAATATCCCAAGAACTTCTTTCATGACCTAAATTTGTGTTTGTGGTATAAGTTCGTTACAAAAGTATAGCATGTGACTTAGTATGCAAAGAAGAAAACCTAAGACGATGTAAAGTTAATGCGATATGCAATTGATTTTGGCATCCGCAACAATGGTATTTAGAAGTAGTTCTTGTAATTATTTTTCTGAATAAATAATTTCTCTTTGCTTGAATGTATGTTCCAATGATTTAGGTCAATGACAGTTCAATTGAAATGACGTGGTTTGAATGTCATTGATAAGTGTGTTTCAAATACGTATGCAGGAATGAATTTTGATTTTTTGGAAGTTTTTATTAAAATTTTATCAGTTCTACGTCATAGCTGTCTTTTTTGTTGAGACATATTTTTTATTTAAATTTTGTTAGTATTTATTGTGACCATTGATAAGCCGATAATAGATATAAATTACGATAATTTTGCATCTTTGATTTTTAAAGGATTATATTGTAATACTATAATTATGTTCATATATACAGTTTTTTTCTCTCAATAAAATATACTTAAATGCAACTTTCTAATGATAATAATATTTAAATAAGTTAAATAATTTACTCCCGAGTATCAAATAGATCAATTGATGTCATACACATACTTTGACAATATATATTTAAGTATGTTTGAAAAAATATAAATATTCATTGAGTGAATTTTCTACTCTTAAACTATCGTAGCTTAACAGAGTCGGTAACAGATAATGTAAGGTATTGAATGATCATATCCTCTCTAATAGCAGCAAGTGTTCAAAGTATCATTAACTTGTAGTGGATTTCTCCCCAGTTGTAATAAACTAATGTTTGGATCATATTTTATCATTTTAGATGGATGCTACAACCATTGCAGACACAAATGGTACAACATCAGAGTTTTTACATGACGAAAACTACATATACGACAAATATCTTCCAGTGATTAATTCATCTTCAAAATACACGAGACTTCTTGTTTATGCTTTAGGTTACCCTGGTAACCTACTGGCTTTCTTGGTATGGATAAGAAGCCTATGCTTCAAAGCAGTGGCGTTTACCTGGCAACGCTCGCTTTATCAGACCTGCTATTTCTATTGTTGGACCTACCATACAGCTTGCAAACTGAATGGAATGTATATGTGTTAAATTTCCCAGTTGTCTGTGAAGGATTCACAGTTGTTTACTTGGCTGCACAGTATATGTCTCCTCTTTTAACTCTAGCCTTTACAACAGAAAGGTATATAGCTATAAAATTTCCACTGAAAAGAAGAATGTACTGCACTGTAAGGCGTGCACTTTGCATGAGTTCGTGTATTGCTTTGACATCATTAGGATTATGCGGTATTCAAGGATACTTTTGGACATATGATACTAAAGTTAAAGAGTGTTTGCGACGAGTGGGTGAAAGCACACAAGAGCTTTGGGAAACATGGACATGGGTAACAGAAATGATAATGTTCTTGTGTGTACCGCTCATAATACTTATTCTTAATTTGTTGGTGATTTTTGAGATTCGAAAGTCAAGAAAAGTTGCTTTGAAACTGAACCGTATCCTTTTCAAAACAAATGCCACGACAACAATGCTGTTAGCTGTGTCGTTTTTCCTAATTTTAACGACACTACCAGTGTCTATCATGTACGCATTGTATGAAAGTTTCCCGCCAGGAAATGACTTTATAGATATCGAAACCAATGGTAAATGGCAAGCACATTTCCGGTACTACAGAGCTCGAACTGTTATATATAATATTGGTCTGACCCATTTTTTCATGAATTTCTATATCTACCTCATGGCAGGGGAAAGATTCAGGAGGGAGGTTATGAATGCTATACGCTGCAGAAGTTCCAGGCGTGGGTTAAGTAAACAAAGATTAGAAACTACAAAAATGGAATCATTTTACAGCAGTGATGCTATGTGAATGACGGACCAAATGAATATTAATCTTCATGTTTACCAAAAGTGAGATAAACCAACCTGTCCTTTATTATTCTAAATTCCATTTTGTATAATGGAAAGTTACTGTAAATAATTGTCCAAGTTCTGATGAGTTGACATCAAAGTAAAAGCAAAGCCTTGAAGAGAGAAGACATTGTGATAAAAGCAGACGGTTTTTTCATTAATATTTTCGTTGTTTTATAATGTATTATATTCAATGTAAAATGGGATCAATTGGTAGTATTTTGTTTATGTATGTCTTGCTATTGAAAATCAATTTCTAGTTGAACTGTAGTCCAATTATTTCTCAAATGATTTTTAGGAAACGTTTAATAAAACTTCTGCAATAACACCATACGTATTTTAACAATACGGCTGTGCAAATATACCATGTACATCAGCGTTTAAATACAAAAGACTTGACAGGATTCTAAACAAAAAAAAATAATAAAAGTACATGGTAACTCGATGCGGCCTCTGCTCAAACGTCTTAATTACGTTATATAACTTTGTGTCAATTTTTCCCCTTTTCAAAGAATTACTTATGTTAAGCAAACATTTTTAAAGTCAAGCAACCTACTGATACAATACTTTTAAAAATCGTCTCTTCTAAATGATCTGCAAAGTCTTCTGTTCACAGTCTTACAGTCAACAATTTCTGAAATAATGCGAATTGTTGATGGCAGTCTTCATTGATTTTATGTTTTCATCTTCGTCCGCTGTTTAGGACAGCATGACTATGGGGTTCACATGTTTGTGTTTTAATTTCGACATCTGTTACATATTTTTATGGCACTTGCATGATAACGATAACAAATCATTCTTTTCAAGGGTTTAAAACTCTTTAACATTGCCGCAGGTATCATTCAGTACTAAATTCTGAAATTGATAACCATTTGTAGAGCTGTGTTCGCGTCAAGGGTTCTTATTTGCATTGTGCTTTATGAGCACTGTATGCATTAAAAGAATTAGAAGAAACGCTGTAAACAAAGATGCTTTACAATTTAAAATTGCTTCATACAGTTAATGTCACGTAACAACATTAGAAAGATTTTTAACGTCATTGATCACATTTTCCATTTTGACAAAGTGTGTTACACTCATTTTTGGCTGTACGCATACCAAAGGTATGTAATAATGCTTTAAAAGTTTGGTTTTTGTATACATTCTTAATATAATATTTCCTATTTCACTTCAAATTGATGGGGATACACTTGAAGAAAACTATTTTAGCCTAGTTATATTTTTGTTTTGTTTTACAACCATAATCCACAACTTTCCCTCATATATATGGGGACATATTTTAACAACGCTCAACATGTACTTACCGATAATTTCTTTGATCGAATTCATCAAAGTTGTGTATCTTATATTTTATAAGCATGTCCTGTAATAAGGTATCGTTATTTAATAAATGATTGATATACTATTAAATTTCTGTTTGCATTGTAGATTGGTCTGTGATATATTGGGAACTGTATATCATTTCAATAGGTTTATAAGATGTATATGTTTACTTTGTTTTTGTTTTTTGTTGTTTTTTTTTAATTCCAGTTTGACATGCACAAATAATATTTACTTGTAGCATGGATGGCATTTACACACCACAGTTAATATTTGCAGGATGATACCTTATCTTAAATGTCTTAAACTTTAATGTAGTCCTGTTCAATTATAATATCTTTAACGACATGCTAACGTTAAGCAGTCATAAAGTTATACCTGGACTATTATTATTTTGATTATTTATACATATATGTCTCAATGTGTAAAATAAAATGTTTGATATCTCAGCTTGTTTTGTTGAAAATTTCGATTTCAAAGATACTGAAATCATTCGTTTGATGCTTTTATAGAAAACAAAACAAGATATATTTTGCTAATAAGTGACCATTTCGCAATTAAATAAAGCAATAAAAAATAAGGTAAAACAGAATTAACTTATTGGCAAACTATTTGCTTGTTATAATTGTGTTTACATAGTCTATTCATACAAGGAGTGTATAAGTATAACATTGGCAACATATTCACTGTCTAACATGCTAAGTATATTATTACAGAAAGGATTACATGTCTTAGATTGATGTGTCTTCTTACTAAAGAGCATCCAGTCAATGACTTAGCTGCGTTCTGTGAACTTCGCCTTTTGTTATGATTAATTTGTTCTCATTATTTTGAAAAAAAGATGATTCGAGTCCAGAATACCTTAAAACGAAATAAAATCTTCCATTTAAGATATGTCGGTTTGATGCTAATTTGTTATGATATATGATGTATATTAAATTGATATACTGTTGCAAAATACTTACATGTACTAAGTATCTCCCCCTTGGTTAATAATTACTGAATTATTTTAAATTTGTCAACAACGAAATGAGAAAACAGCAATACGATGTATGTATAAAATTTTGAACGGATTATACTTAATGTCATAAAACATAAAAGAAAATGAAAATATAGATCAACAAAGCAAAGCGACGTTCACAGGACGCAGCCTTCAAACACAATCCGTCCACACAAGCACGGCACCCAGACGGCATCGAACTGAAAACAGGATAGGACACAAGGGCGACGAAAGAAGGGGAGGGACATGTTATAAGCATTACATGGATTGTTTGTCTGACAAAACTATCGAGTTCATTAATTAGTATATACATTGTATCATTTTCTAAATAAAAGGAATGTTGTTGTTGCTTTTTTGTAATTGTTATTGTTACACGTACATGTATCATATACTTATGAGTGATCATTAAAATACTCTACGTAATATATATTATATATAGCAAAATATCACTTCATTGTAATTTTCATAATTAACTTTACTTATATTTCATAATTGTTCATACTTCACACAAACATATAACAAGAATAGAACGGAAACTCATTACCAGAAAAAAGATGTGATTGTGAATATAAATGATGGTCATCAGACAATATAAGGCGTTTCAGCATTGATACACATTTATTTATTTTTGCTGTTGATAAGCAGTAAATGAACTACCTGGTAAACTTTTATATTTTTGTCCGAGATGCTTATTATTATATCGATTAATAGTTAAAATGTATGTAACAGATATTAAACGTAGTTAATCAGTAAAATCGTGTTTAATAACTTCATATAATTTCCACCTAAGTATAATAAATAATTGTGAATAGTTTCCTTCCACTGATAAGCGCGACAAATATCTATCTAAGACATGTGGACATTCATAACGCTTATACAACATGTTTTCTGACAAGCATATTATGTAAGCCAAAACCCTTCTCATATACATAACGTTATTTCATTTTCTTAAACATTTTTTTCTTTGTGTACTGTACAATATTGAATATGTAATATCGTTAGAAATATTCACTACTTTATTTATTTGAAAAAAAAAAAATTGATTTTCATTTTTCCTTCTGATGTATTGTAATATTTTAGTTCTTGCGATGATTCACATTTCACTTTCAGAATCATAATTGTTATAGCTTTACATCACGTAATCTCTTTTCCTTGTCTGTATGTAGCGACAATATAAACAAAATGTCAAAAGCAAAGACTGCATAACTGTACGGGAACGAGATACACATGGTTTATTCGAGAAACTAATTAAACGTTTCTCAACACCTTAAAGAACTATTGTGATATTTTCCGGGAATTAATAAGTTTTGTGTGAAATAGGAAATTGCATAAATGTCGAAAGAAATTGTTTATTCAAGTTCTTAGATAAGTAATGCAAGAGTTCTTGAACACATGTACGTTTTAAGGTATTGTAAATACACAATAAATCAAATAATTTTCCTGTTTCTGTTTTGCTTGCAGATAACACCTGAGCATAATGTTTTGTTTTAAAAAGAAAAAAACGAACTGGTGTATGTTTACTATGTACGGTTGGATTACGCGATTTAAAAATAAACAGGTAATAAAATGAAAACTCATTCAAACTAATCAAAACAAGTGAAGATGCAATTGTCAGTTAACATTCGAGAGATATGGTATATATGGTAGAAAGTAATAATGTAGAAAGGCAACAAGATCATTAGTTAGAAAATGTCCATGCAATTTGAAAATGCACTTTATAGTTAACAGACCAACTATATATTTTAAACTTGTTATTCAAAGAATTGATCATGGACAGTAACAAAATGCAAAGCTGAATTAGTCGATTTAGTCCATGAACGGGGAAATTAACTTCATTACAACATTTTGAAATATTGTTGTAGGCAAGTTTTAAGAATTAGAAAAAGTAAAGCTAAACATTGTCTAAATAGTCCTTGCTAATCTAAATTTAACCTTTCTTATTACGGTGGCATTAATTTTTTGAAGCGAAAAAAGACAAATCCGATAAATGGTTTGACATTTTGGTATCCGGAATTATATTGATTTGTTAAATACAAAATTAACAGTTGAATGGACAAAACCGTTTGGTAATGTAATAATAAAATGTGTCATAACTTGGTTGATAAAAGAGAAATAAAATTCTCTTTCAAGTTTCTTATTTGGTTTTAAAGGTATTAACAGAAACAGTCGGTCCTATTGTAAATGCGGAAACAATGGCCCAGGTATACAACCACCACATACAGCTATTGTGTTTACCTCAGTTTTTAGTTTGCACTCGCTACTTTGTAGTGTACTTTGTAATATTAGGTATGGTGATAATTTATATCAATAGTATGAAGAAAGAAATATATTTCAATTTAACGGTCTTTTCTGAATATACCTTAGGCTACGTACTTAAAGTTTAAATATATACTATGCTCATCTTTGAGTAAAATATTTCTATCACAGAAATTTATTGAAATCTATGAAATCCTTACTGAATATGTCTAATTTTGTTTTATAAAAGAATGAATAAACTATAAATGGGAAGCTGCGTTCCCTATTACAGGTCAAGTAAAGTTGGTATTTTCTTAAAAAACTGCAGGTTGTTTTAATAACACTATATATTCTTATTATGACCACCTGTAGTGTTAAGAGTTTAAAACATAACATATCTACTTTGTGGGAAGTCAAAACATGTTTACTTTATACTTATAATGAGACTGTGTATCCATTGTCAATATTTTTAATATCAAATTTGAGCATAGTATATCTTTCAATAGTAACAAGTTTTTTTTTATAACTGAACACATTGTCAGGTACCGGTTTACTTAAATTGTACCTAACGCTTCAATGAATTTCGCTCTATTACTAATCTATACTGATTAAATAAATATTAAATTTGTAATAATAAAATCAATCAATCCTTCTATACAAGCCATGAGAGAAAATAAAACAAAAACTTTTTAATTATTTCCAAAACTTGCAACGCAGCTTGTTTTTTATCATCAATGTATTAAACCATTCATATGCTTAGTAAAGGCATCTAATTGCCACAAAAAAAAAGACAGTAATCGTCGTTTAAAAATTCAACAAACTGACATAATTCTATGGTCGTCTTTGTTCTGGCAGGTCTAGCGTAAATGATGTCGTTAAGGAAAGACGTGTGCAAGATGTTGTTAAAAACCCGCTTATATTACAGGAAGATAGTGGTGTGCGAACTTCATTTTTCATTTTGATCTGATGAAAACATCTCTAAAGAAATTGTCTTTATGAAACTCAACTCATTACATTGTAGGAATAAGCTAAAATTTATTTATTTATTTATTTATTAGAAAGAAATGTGTAGATATTTTCAAAATAAATTGATATTTTATTTTTAAAAAAGAAAGTTGGTTTTACCTGGTCTGCTTTCAATTAAAACAAATCACGCTGAAATTATAATAGTTATACCCCCGCACAACAAAGTTGTAAGGGGGGTATACTTGAATCAGATTGTCCGTCCGGCCGTCGGGCGTCCGTCGGTTTTTTCTTGTCCGCCCAATAACTTAAGATTTCTTTGACCCACAGTCTTCATACTTGGCATGGAGATTAGTCATAACTTGTAGATGATCCCTATTGATTTTAAGGTCACCAGGTCAAAGGTCACAGGGAACTTGACTTCAAAAAGCTTGTTCGCCCAATAACTTAAGATTCCTTTAACCCACAGTCTTCATATTTGGCATTAAGAAGGGTCATGACAAGTAGATGACCCCTATTGATTTTGAGGTCACCAGGTCAAAGGTCAAGGCCACAGGGGCCTTGACTGAAAATATATTGTCCACCGAATAACTTAAGAGTCCTTTGACTCACAGTCTTCATATTTTTCATGGAGGTTAGTCATGATTAGTAGATGACTTATTTGTTTTTAGGTCACCAGATCAAAGGTCAAGGTTACAGGGGCTTTGACTGAAAAAATATTGTCTGCCAAATAACTTAAGAATCCTTTGACCCACAGTCTTCATATTTGGCATGGAGGTTAGTCATGATTAGTAAATGACCCCTATTGATTTTGAGGTCACTGGGTCAAAGGTCAATGTCACAGGGGCCTTGACTGAAGAAAGCTTGTCTGCCCAATTACTTAAGAATCCTTTGACCCACAGTCTTCATATTTGACATTTGGAGGTTAGTCATGATTAGTAAATGACCCTTATCTATTTTATGGTCACCAGGTCAAAGGTCAAGGTCACAGGGGTCTTGACTAATTATAGCTTGTCCACCCAATTACCTAATATTCCTTTGACACACACTCTTCATATTTAGCATGGAGGTTAGTCATGATTATTAGATGACCCCTATTGATTTTGAGGTCACTGGGTCAAAGGTCAAGGTCACAGGGGCTTTTATTACAATAAGCTTGTCTGCTCAAATGCTTAAGAATGCCTGTCCACAGTGTATTGAGTTTTACATTTTCACATTTGAAGCATATAAATATGTTCTCATATATTCATCATAAAACACCTCCAGGCAAAACTGCATGAATGTATTGAAGTCATCCAGTGGCAGTTTCAGTTTTGAGGTCAGTAAGTCAAAGGTAAAGGTCACTTTGCCACTCAAAACATGTAGAATACATAACTTAGCAATGCACTGGCTTACGTCCCTCAGAT